AATTAAATAATATAATGTTGAAGTAGAAAATAACTTATCGACACAATTTACAAGATACATTTGTTATATATATACTAGCGTCTGGACACATGCGTTGCACGTGTGTCTCATACAAATAGTATAGATGACATGAATCATAGTAAGTATACAATTAACCATTTAAAATTAATTTCAATCTATACAAACTTTGTAAAATGGAAGACAAGCAAAAAATTTGTTACAAAATCTATAAAGCACTAAAGCAGAGATGTAACCATCACGAAAAGTCTAAAATTATCTAAGATTGTGCGTGTGTGTATGCGTACGTGCGTGCGTGCGCGTGCGTGTGTGTGTGTTTTTCTTTTACATGCCACCAATGAGCATTGAGATGAATGAGATTCATCCACTCTTATGTAGAAGTCTCGTGTTTGAACCCTAAGAATGAATAACTTCTAATCAAGAGTTCTTACCCCATCAATAGACTATACACAAGACAAATTAAAATTAATTCGGTTTGTATTATCAATATATACCAAATTGACCTGAATGGACGCAATCCCTAACCTTTTAATCAAATATTCCTGGTAAGAGCTGGATGCTTTGACTATATTGTAAAGCTTCAATTCCAAGTCCATATTTTGATCGTCATCTGCTTCAACATTTTAAAAAATGAAGGGCTTATCTAGTTTCTTGATTAAAGGCTTTGTGAAATTAACTGGGTCCAACTCCTTATCTCTGGACACTTGACCCCTTGAATGTGATTCTTCTATCATTGAATGGAAAATAGTATTACCATTTGCTATTGAAGCAAATTGAGAGTGACCTTGTTTAAAATCTAACTTGAAATGTGTCGTCCTTGACATAAGGTAACCTGCAAACTAAATAATATAATGTTGAAGTAGAAAATAAATTATTGAAAAAATTTAAAAGATGCATTTGCTATATATATACTAGTGTCTATGATTCATTTCATCTATACTATTTGTATGAGGCACACGTGCAACGCACGTGTCCAGTGCGTTGTTGTGTTGCACGTGTCTCATACAAATAGTATAGATGACATGAATCATAGTTAGTATACAATTAAGCATTTAAAATTAATTTCAATCTATACAAACTTTGTAAAATGGAAGATAAGCAAACAAAAAAAGTATCAAAACAATTTCTTACAAAATCTACAAAGCACTAAAGCAGAGATGTAACCATGACGAAAAGTCTAAGATTTTTTTTTGTATATATATATATATATAATTCATTTACATGACACCAATGAGCATTGAGATGAATGAGATTTATCCACTCTTATGTAGAAATATCGTGTTTGAATTTTAAGAATAAGTAACCTCTAATCAAGAGTTCTTCCCCATCAATAGACTATACGCAAGACAAATCTAAATTAATTGGCTTTGTATTATCATATATATACTAAATGGGTCCTGATTGGATGTAATCCCTACACTTTTACTCAAATATTTCTGGTATGAGCTTGATCCTTTGACTATATTGTAAAGCTTCAATTCCAAGTCCATATATTGATCGTCATCTGCTTCAACATTTAAAAAAATGAAGGGCTTATCTAGTTTCTTGATTAAAGGCTTTGTGAAATTAACTGGGTCTAACTCCTTATCTCTTTACACTTGATTCCTTGAATGTGATTCTTTAATCATTGAATGAAAAATAGCATGACCATTTGCTCTTGAAGTAAATTGAGAGTGACCTTGTTTAGAATCTAACTTGAAATGTGTCGTCCTTGATACAAGGTAACTTGGAAATTAAATAATATAATGTTGAAGTAGAAAATAACTTATTGACAAAATTTAGAAGATGCATTTGCTATATATATACTAGTGTCTATGATTCATGTCATCTATACTATTTGTATGAGACACACGTGCAACGCACGAGTCCAGTGTGTTGCACACGTCTCATACAAATAGTATAGATGACATGAATCATAGTAAGTATACAATTAAGCATTTAAAATTAATTTCAATCTATACAACCTTTGTAAAATGGAAGATAAGTAAACAAAAAAAGTATCAAAACAATTTATTACAAAATCTATAAAGCACTAAAGCAGAGATGTACCCATCACGAAAAGTCTGAAATTATCTAAGATTTTTTTTTTTATGTACATATATATATATGAATGAGATTTATCCACTCTTATGTAGAAGTCTCGCGTTTGAATCCTAAGAATGAGTAACCTCTTATCAAGAGTTCTTCCCCCATCAATAGACTACATGCAAAACAAATCTAAATTAATTGGGTTTGTATTATCATATATATACCAAATGGGTCCTAATTGGATGTAATCCCTAAATTTTTAATCAAATATTTCTGATTTGAGCTCGAGAAAAGAGAAACACTATGATCTATAATATTTCTTTAAGGAAGGTGATTTGCTAATTAAACAAAAATGAATCCCCACCCTAAAAAGGAATTTTATAAACAATTTGGCCGGGAGCACTTTCCCATGTTAGGAAGTTTTTAAATAAACTAGGAATTCAAAGTTCTTTTTCCTCCTATAAGGAAGGTGAATTATCGATCAGACCCAAATAAATTGCCTCCCTTAAAGAGAATGGAGAAACATTCTTGTCGGAAATGCTTTCTATGTTTTCAAGTAAACTAATACCAAAACAGTCTTTTTCTCGCATATGAAATATGATTTGTCAATCGAACTATAAATGAATCACTTTCCTAAAAGAGAATGTAGAAACACACACTCTGGTTAGGACCGCTTCCCTTGTAAGAAAGTTTTTCACATAAACTAACAAAGTTCATTTCCTCATATAGAAAAGGTGAGTGATTTGCCTCAATTTAAAATGAATTTCCACCCAAAAATAGAAAGGAGAAACACCCTAGATAGGTGTTGGGCTTTATTTGCCCTGAATTTCTTACCATAAATAGGTTTTCCTTTTAGGAAAAGGTTTTGGATTGGCTAGTCCTTTTCTTGTAGGAAAAGGTTTAGGACTCTATAAATAGAGGTTTGTTCCTTCTAACTTAATCAGCATTCACAATGTAGTCTTAAGGGCTTTGAGTAGTTTTGGTTAGGGGAGAATTTGTGGGTCACAAGCTTGATACGTTATCGCTTGTGTGAACCTCCCATGTATTCCGAGTGAATTGGTTGAGGTTATTTCTCTCTATATTTTGTACTCTCATGTTTATATAGTGGATTGCTCATCTCCTTTGTGGACGTAGGTCGATTGACCGAACCACGTTAAATCTTTGTGTCTTTGTATATTTCTCGTTTGTTTGCTTACTCATGGTCTTTCGAGGTTTGCTTTGCTAGCTTCCGCGTTACACCTGCTTATTTCGGTCCTAACAATAGGAGCGCTTATCCCTGTAAGGAAGTATTCAAACAAACTAAAAATCCAAAGTTGTTCTTCCTTCTTTCAAGATGTTGATTTTTTTTTATAACTATAATTATATGTGATAACTTCAATGATTCATTATATTTATTTGGTAAGAATCTCTTATTTCTTTACAACAAATATTTTATGTTGCACATATCAATTTATGAACTTTTAAAATCTATTAATTGTGTAGAAGATGAAATGAATACATTATCGTTTGGGTTAAACATGCAACGCACGTTCCTAGAGACTAGTGTATTTATATATGTAAAGGATGGACAATACCGTGTAATTAATTAATTGTTTTAGATTATCATAATATGGTGATTCACGGGAGCAAGACCATAAAACAGACTAAAACTTATCGTTAATATATTTTATGACACTTAGTAATTACTAAAGTGGAGGTTTTAGGAAAAACGACAAAAGTGTGAACTGATAATGTATTATTAGTTGTTAAAGAGGAAAATACAATTAATTATTGATATGTCGGTTAGTTAAATAAATTAAAGTGCAAATTCATTCACTTAACTAGTTTCTGGATACGTGTTTCACACGTGTGTTTCATGTGAATTTTCATCGATATGTTAGAATGACTAAAATTCTATGAAAACATGTGTATAATGAATAATAAAATGTAACAACTACAAATCTATCTTTAATAATATGACAAAAAAAAAAAACACAAAGGGCGTATTTTGATGTTTCAAATTAATTCTTTTTAAGCAACAAACTGTAACTTTTGAACTTTGGTTTATAGTTAGTAAACTTTTAATAAAGTCACAATGGCTAATTTAAGCCCAAATTAATAAGAGTATAGACTTACGACAATAAAACATTCAAAGGAAACTAAATCAAGAAGTTTAATTGAGAAAAAACACACACACCCAAAAAAAAACTGAGAAGAAAAAATATAGTCTATACATCCTTCTTAAGTCTTTGATCAATAATAATAATATAGATGGGAAAATTAATACAAAATTAGTATAGAATTTTCTGAATTCTTATAAACTCTTTCTCCCATATCCAACCATTTACTTTAACTATAGAATAAAAACGCTAACCTTGGGTAAGGATTTCATGAAACAAAAAAGATGAATTTATATAGATAAAAATGAAGGAATACCAAAAGTTATCGTAAAGTTTTAGATTAAATATTTGGAGGTTATGAATATCAAATTTAAAGCTGCTCACATTATCACTAATTCATTATCTTGTGGCAGGCTCGTGTTGTACAAACACATTCAACCTAACTAGGGTCCTATTACCCTACTGAACTCATATTTTATGTATTTTCATATACCTTTTGTGCTAACTTCAACCAAATAAGTTGATTGTGTTTGTACAACATGTGCCCGCCTCTCTTTCTTTAGTTGTCAAACTTTTTTTAGTTGTGGTACTCCTCTAATTTTATCAAGCTATGGTGTTTCTGATAATCCATTGGCAATTTAAATGATCAACATAGATTCATTTCAAATGACTCAATTTTTTTTGCTTCCTCCCTCTCTTTCACATACAAAGTTTCCATGTTAAAGTAATATTCTAAAGATCTACTCCCTCATCTGTATTAGTGGAGTTCACTTAGAGCAACTATAATTCATACTACATTAGACTTTAGTATAGTCTTTGTCTAACGTCTTTGTATGAATTTTATGTCCTTGGCAGAAGCGCTGGTACCCGTTGAGAAAAAGGGATCTATTGACAGAGGTACTTACTATTGTTTTATTGTGTTATACTATTTTTTCTTCTCAATCACTCTACAGCTCAATGAAAACTAATTTGCATATATAATCTTCAGATGCAACTCTTGCTCGGTTAACGACAGAGAAGAGATTGTCGCTAATCAAAGCATGGGAAGAAAGTGAGAAATCAAAAGCTGAAAACAAGTATGTTATGAAATTGCGCATTTTCATTTACATGTTGAGGTGTTAGAACTACAAAGTGATTGAATTTTGAATTTGAAATGCCTCAAAAGACAATTTTTGTTGATTGTGGATAGTTACTGTCTTGAAGCCATTTTATTAGTTAATTTCTTGAAGTGAAATTATCAACTGTATGCCAGTTGTTTCACTTAGTTATGGCATTTGGATTCATTCATTTATGTGTAAATGATTTAGTGGAGTATGAATTTCCGTTTAGATGATCTTGGCAATCTTATTGCAAAACACTGTTAATTTCCCCTAATCTGTTATCTGAGAAGCCCCTGTCGTTATTTCGACCTTATGCGGATGAACCTGCTTTGCTATGATAGTTTTTATATTCAGTAATGACTCAAATTTGAGACCAAAGATTAAAGTTTTTTTAAGCCGAATTACAGGATAAGTACGTGTCTCAGGAAATGTTATTACTCATAAATTTGAGTACAGTTGGTAATTTGAATCTGTTTTATCCCCAATTCGTTGACAGAGCTCAGAAAAAGCGGTCTGAAATTCTTGCATGGGAGAACAGCAAGAAAGCAAGCTTGGAGGCTGAGCTAAAAAGGACTGAGGTGAGAAGTCATTCTTCTATTTTGCTACATGCTATAATCTAACGAGTTATTATGGTTACATCGTCTGGTGACCGTGATTTTGTTATTATAAGTCCCAGAGAGATCTCGTAATGCCACAAATATTCCGTTTGCTTGTCTTTGTTCAATAATACCCTGTTCTTCAGTGAAAAGAAATGCTAGATGCTTGAGTAAAATTTCCGGAATATAAGTTTCAGGATTCTCAACAAATAATGTCGTTGGACTAATCATGTGTAGTTGTTCACTTTCCATTTATTTGATGGTTCTGTTTGATATTAGTTAATACAAGTCATATGTGTTGATGCCTCAAAAACCATATCCTTGTCTTTAATAACCATATTTGTGGTTGTAACTGTTAATCACCATCAATTACAATCTCTACGTACCATCTTGTTCATACCATTTTAGCTTCCAAAGTATATTTGTGGTTGTTTTAGCCTTACACATCTTGTGGGTGAACAGGAGCAATTGTTGAAAAAGAAGGCCGAGTACATTGAGAAACTGAAAAACAAGATTGCTCTAGTCCACAAGTCAGCAGAAGAAAAAAGAGCGATAACTGAAGCTAAACGTGGAGAAGATCTTCTTACCGCAGAGGAGATGGCAGCAAAATGTCGGGCCACTGGAAGTTCTCCAAAGAAACCACTCCTTGGATGTTTCTGAAGTGGAAAATACTAGACTTGTATCACTGGTTATAAAAGTTGTATAGTGAAGTTTGTGGATTGAGAATTTCTTTGCATTAGAAACATTGTGTGCTTATGCCTTGTGGAATCTATTGCTTTCGTTATTACGAGTGCATAACAATGTATTCGAGTGTATATAAAAACTGGTGAAAATTATCTCTGGAATTGTATTGAAAGAAACCTACTATATTAGCAATGTGGCCAACTCCATAAGATGCCTCTTAATTCAAAAGATTTGAAATTAGACTCCAAAAATGAATCCCTTGTTACAAGGTTGTTGTGTGCTTACCGTGATTGTCAAATTACTGCAGAAAGATACAACTGCAGTATCATGCTTAAGGGGAAACTATTTACACTAACAATTCAATAGGAAGTAATTTATCCCTAAAGATGATTATATAAATGACTCATATGACATTGATCACATCACTATTTATGTTGAATTCACCAGATAACAATTCGTCAAATCCATTTGCAGCAGACATGTGATCTTCAAACTCATGTTGTGCTTGAAACATATCATCATCTACCATTTCATTGTCAACCCCTTCGCTCATAAATAAATCATGCATGAAAGCATCTAGGAACTCTAAATTGTTGTAACCAAAATTATTCTTGGAAAGATCTGAGTTCTGATCGTTAAATTGATCTTAGCTAAAGCCACTCATCGAATAATCTGTATCTGCTAAGAATAATGAACCTTCTACCATGTGTGCAAACTAGACCAAACTAGAATTTCTGGAAGGAGAAGATACTCCATCTAAATTTTCTGCTTTTTTGGCAACTTTCTTTAGATACATTATCTGTTCGTCCAGCCAAATGTTGTGCTATCCGAGACCACCTATCTATACATAACCTTTTTCAATAATGGATCTCAACATAAACGAATATTCTTCAAATACTAAAGGTAAAATTAAATAATAGGCACCTCGGTGCATGAAGCCTCTTGCGCTCACATAGGATCTAGGAAGAGCCATACCCCAAGGGGGTGTAACGTGGACAACCTACCCAAGCATCTGACTTTTATTGGCTAGTTTATCAATATTACAACTTACAACGTTTTCCTTTGTTAATTTTGTACTTCTAATTTCCTTTGCTGTATTTATTCCACATATAAGTGCTATATAGTGAGGAAGTGGATGTTCTGAAAGTCCACCATAGTTTGACAAAAAGGGCATTCGATACGCCTTTTAAATATCTGAAACCTTGTTCCCTTTCTTCTTTAGGGAGCTACAGCTTATCCCATGCCACCTAATGCTTACCATTACGCCTTCTACAGTTTTATTCCCTCTGTTTCCATTGGATAAGTTCTTTTCTCAATTTGTGATGCCATCGCAGCTGAAGTTAATTCTATCTTAAAATTCTTTAAACTTGATCCAAGAAGGCAACAATACTTCCAATTAAATTCTATGACTGTACATCAATCCGTAGCAGCCCTATATCTAATTGTAACGAGCTTAATGTTGTCATGAGAAACTTGGAATTGTTTGTCAAAAATATAAAGTTGTGTTATGTGTTTATACATGTGTAATTATCTAACTACTTGCACTGCTACCACAACCTGGGAAGGAACTAGAGGCATTGGTAACACATCCATGCAAAGAGACGCAACAACAGCTCACTACGATCCCTAGTGTATGTTTAAAAGAGAGGATCATATCATGAATTTAATAAGATCTTTTTTCACCCGCGATTCTCTAGTATATGCTAAAAATGCTAACAACTACGTAGTTCAAAAACATAACTTATCACAAAGTAGAGAGTAGCTTGAGTTTCAGCCAAAACAAACATGCCCTGCTGGTTGATTTGGTGGAAGAACATGATGAGAATTAAATGCTAAATATCCTATTTCATGATTAACTTAAGAAAATGATAACAAGAGCAGTTTACATAACTGCACCATGACACTTTACTATATATGTTATCACACTCAAATGGTAGAATTTACCTCCAAATTTGAAATTCAGACGGTCAGACCTATGCCAATTTTCACTCATTCGATTATCAAGTTGATTGGAGATCAAGACATGACATAGTATAACAAAGTCAAACGAGCAGTGAACCACCAAAAATGAGAATGTCTATGTAAACAAACATTATTCAGTTCAGGATGAAAAAAGGAACACAAATTCATCTAGTATCTCATCTTTTGACAAAAAGACATATATAGCTAAAACAGGCTAACTCTTAAAACTACCTCCATCGACTCAAAAGAAGTAATGCATTTCGTCTTGGATTATCACTTGCACTTGAGAGAAGTTTTGATCCCGTTAATTATACCAGAGATGATTCCATTTGCTTTTTTGGCTGACTCTATAGTGTGCTTTTTAGAATGAATGGTTTTCACCAACATTTGGAACCCAATGGTCACAAGTGATCCACCACAGAATCCATTATCATTCTCTCCCAGAATTCTGTTGAAGTTATTTGCCGTATTATAATCTTGAAAAGAATCAGGCACAATTGCAATTCCACATGGAAAGAGAGCCACACCAGAAGGGTCCCCTTTTTTCTTCACCACATTCATTGCTAGTGAATCCATTGTTGCATATACTAAAAGGGATCCTGTTGCGTCCGTGCAAGTATCTTGCAAGATCATCATGTTATTTTGATTAGTACTGGTGTCATGCCCCTACAAGTCCAAAACAAAATAATAGGTTATTTATAAATCAATGATTAGTAAAAAAGAATTGATCCTATCATGTTTCTAAAAAATACAATAATCAATCACTCACATTAACATGAAAAAGAGAGATGTTATTATCAATATTGTGATCCTTGGGAATGTAGACCATTAGTTTCATGAAATAACTAATAGTCCAGACATCCCATTGACTCCTCGTTTGTTCATTCATAAGGAATTCAAACAAACGTTGATGTTTCACGGGCAACCAGATGGTCTTTGTGGCACTCAACACTGTACCACTAGGTTCACCGAGGTCACTAATATTGTTTCTCTTCATCAATTTAACACCTTTACCCTTTGCTAATTGAATTATTTGCCATTGGTGAGTGGTTCCACAAACCCCTGCACAAAAGTTGTGAGTCATGCGTTGAGCCAACATTCCTACATTTTTCTCACCATTTAAACCAACTGCCACAAATAAAACCTCATCAGAATCCAAAGTTCTTGTTAGTAATCAAAAGTGTAAACAAATGGAACAATAATGGGACATGCATGGTTACCTGTGGGGTCATTGAATGACCTCATTAATCCCAAAAATACAGATTGCCTTTGCAAAGTAGCCATCCACCTTTGTGCGCCAAAACCAATACCAGACCTGACCATAGGGCGATACATATGGTGGACAACATTTTCATTATATTCCATGTGCTCGATCCAAGTTATCTGAAAATTAAATATTACATCAATTTTGCAAGACCACTAAATAAAAAAATATGATCTTACATGATATGTTGACCTAATTAATAATCCAAGTAAGATGATAGTTGGTGTAGACAACTTAGAAAACTCAACCATCAAATCAAGGACTCAATCTCAAAGGATGTATCCTCCGAAAAGATCCCTAGTGGTCTTAACAATAAATATGGGAGGAGGGAGTGTGCACGGTATTTGAGTCCTTACCTGTTGGCTCGAATCCGAGACATCTGATTAAGGGTGGAGCAGTTCCACCACTGCACCACAACTCATGTTGGTATATTTTATACAATTACTAAATAGTTGCATTCATCAAAACTAGACGAAGCCTAATTTCTCTTATTTTGAATAAAATAAAGTATAAGCTGGATAAACTAATTAAAATGATCAACAAAATGAATTAGTATACCTTATGAAAACTAATGCACAAAATACAGCCCAAGAAAGGTGTGGGATATCAACCATCTGCTGTGGAGATGAGATAAATATAGATCAACGTAACTTACGCATTAGAAATGAAAATAAAAATGTCTTACCTTCATGCAAAGATCATAAATTAGTAAATTCAAGATATATAATATAATACTCCTCGATAATCTCATTTCTAATGGTCAGTTATACTAACCATTCTAACAAAAAGTGTTGCATTATGAAATTAGATGATAGTGTAATTTCAGGAATTATAGAATCATTTTCAAACATTAAATACCAATATAAGGTTCAAATTATTAGGATACCACTTTTAAAGTATTGTTATGATCTCAATCCTAGCTGATAAAATGTTATTGTCAAGATTCGAACTCGGAAAAGAGTATAAGCCATTAATAGGGAAATTAAAAAATTGAAGGACCGAGATTTATTTCATTTAAATGAAGCTTAAGGAACGAGATCATGTCACATGAATAGACGGTTATATATACACATCACATAGGAGAGAGAAGGCTAAGTGAAATCTGGTAATTCTAATTCCTTCCTCGTGTTCTTCTCTCTCCCAAATTCCTTTCTCTTCTCATCTATTTAAATTTGATTCTCTCCTCATCTTTTTCTACTGCAGATTCTATCACTAATGGAGTTCACTAATGGCTTGTTTTCTTTTAATAGATAGTATTTCTTGTTCATTTGAGTTCAATATTTTTCTTCCAATATATAGCATATAAATGCCCCAAAAAACTTGTTGTGCTGATTGTTTAAACTCTGTAATTGAATTTTGATCTCGATTGACATCATAGCATTATCCTACTTGGGGCATGTTATTACCAGGAAAGGTGTAGCTACTGATCCTCTCAAAATTAGAGCCATGGTCGAGTGGCCTAGACCAAAAACACTCAAAGCACTTGGAGGATTCACTGGTCTTACTGGCAACTACAGGAAATATATTGTTAATTATGGTACTATCAATAGGCCCCTCACTGATTTGTTAAAACAGGATGCGCCTTCAAATGGGATCTAGAGGCAGGAATAGCATTTGAAGCCCTTAAGACAGCTATGAGCACCACATATGTGCTCGCACTTCCTAACTATTCACAGGAGTTTGTCGTTGAGACTGATGTCAATCATGGAGGCATTGGTGCAGTACTTATAAAGAAGGGAAGACCAATTGCTTATTTTAGTAAGATGTTGGCACCCAAGCACCGAGGAAAGTCTATTTATGAGGAGTACATGGCTTTGTTAAGTGTTGTGGATAAGTGGAGACACTATCTCCTGCTCAAGCACTTCGTGGTGCAGACTGACCATCATAGCTTAAAATATCTACAGGAACAAAAGGTAACCTCAGCTATTCCGCAAAAGGGTTTAACCAAGCTATTAGGGCTTGATTACGAGGTTCAGTACAAGAAAGGTGCAGAAAATAGAGTAGTTGATGCCTTGTCTAAGCAACAAATGATTATGTGTCCAAATGTAATGTGTGCCATAAGAATAAGGATGATAATGCAACTTATCCAGGATTGTTGCTTACTTGTTCCAAATCAAGCATGGTGGCATATTAGTATGGACTTTGTGGAAGGTCTTCCCAAGTCTAAGTCTAAAGATGTCATATTAGTGGCGGTTGACAAATTTACTAATTATGCCCACTTCATAGCACTATCACACCCATATACTACTGCTACTGTTGCTTCTATCTTTTGGAAAAGGATACATAGCCTACGTGGTACTCCGGAGTCTATTTTGACTAATAGGACAAGGTGTTTCTGAGCAACTTCTGGTGAGCTCTATTCAACTTACTGGGCACTCAACTCAATTATAGTTCTGCATATCACCCTTAAAGTGATGGTAAAACAGAAAGGGTTAACAAGTGCTTGGAAAACTACTTAAGTGCATGGTGGTAAGCAAGCCTAACCAGTGTAAACAATGGCTATCAGCAGCAACTGAATGGTGGTGTAATACTAATTTTCATACAGGGTTGAAGTGTACCCCTTTTAAAGCTCTTTATGGGTATACACCCCCTCAGCTATGTATCGGACCTTTATTAGAAAATGTAGTGCAAGTTGCTGAAGATGTGATCATACAGTGGCAACAATTTTTACAATTACTCAAGGATAACTTACATGCAACTCAAGCCAGGATGTTGTTCTTTGCTGATAATAGAAAGACTGATAGAGAGGTTGCAGTGGGCGATTTAGTATATTTGAAGTTGCAGCCATACAAACAAACATCATTAGTACTAAGGAGGAACCTTAAGCTCAACTCTAAATATTATGGTCCCTATTTGGTTATTGCTAGGATTGGTAATGTGGCTTACAAACTAGTATTACTACCTGAATCTAAGGTCCACCCTATTTTCCATGTCCCATTACTCAAAAAGAAAGTGGGCAATCGTGTAGTGGTTAAATCATCTCTTCCTAACAGTGAAGCTGATGGTCAGTTCATCATGCAACCAGTTGCCATTTTGCAAAGGCAAATGGTTAAGCAGAACAATGTTGTTATTGTAAAGATGTTAGTTCAATGATCAAACCTTCCTCCTGAAGATGCTACATGGGAGGACTACCAACACTTATGCACCACCTTCCCTAATTTTAGTCTTGATCCTTGAGGACAAGGATCATTTGAAGACGGAGGGTATGTTATAATCTCAATCCTAGTTAATAAAATTTTGTTGTTAATTAAGATTCAAACTCGGGAAAGAAAACCACTAACAGGGAAATTAAAAGATTGAAGGGTCAAGATTTATTTCATTTAAATAAAACTCAAGGGACGAGATCATGCCACATGGACAGACGGTTATATATACACATCACATAGGAGAGAGAACGCTAACTCAAATCTGGTAATTCCAATTCCTTCCTCATGTTCTTCTCTATCCCAAATTCCTTTCTCTTCTCATCTATCTAAATCTGATTCTCTCCTCATCTTTTTCTTCTGCAGATTCTATCACTAATTGAGTTCACTATTGGCTTGTTTTCTTTTAATAGATAGTATTTCTTGTTCATTTGAGTTCAATATTTCTCTTTCAACCTATAGCAGAAAATTGCCTCAAAAAACTTGTTGTGTTGATTGTTTAAATTCTGTAATTGAATTTTGATCTCGATTGAGGTCATAACATTATCCTACTGAATCCTTCTCAAAACACGCCAAGGAGAAACAAATGTCAAGAGAAGAAATACTACAAACCCTAAATATTGAATGAGCCGACAATATCCACCAAAAGGGGCAAAACACTACGATGTGTGTATAGACCTTACTTTAAAAAATTAAATCAATAAGAAGAAAATCAATGCAAATTAAGCAACATAGATCATTAAATTTAGAGAAATTATGGAGGTCTACATGGGAAGCAAAATGAAAAAGACAATTTAAGTTTAATTACCTTGGAGTAACCATTAAGCAGATCTTGCACAACACAACCAGAAGGAAACCTCCGACAATTCCTAATTTCACATTGTTGTGCACCTTTATTTATCATGTCAACGGACACATCCACTATAACCCAAATATCTTTCGCATATTGGTGGCAGTAGCGAAGAAATGTTATTTCTCGAACAGAAACCAAATCAGAAATCATTTGTAATTCAGTGTAAATCTGCAAATCAATACTTTCAAACTCTTAGTGCATGAAATAATAGGATAAATGAGATGCGTAACTTTTTTGAAAAATAGTAAATAATGATAAAAAAGAAATACCAATTGTAGAATACCACTCTTGCTTCCACCTATACTAGTTGAAATCACATCAACAGTAGATGTTTTCCCGATAATGCATGGAAACATCTCCATCCATAGATTCTACATGTAGAAAAACAAATACATTTGGAAGGTTAAAAACACATACTACGAGATGTGAAGCAAAAATCAAAGAAATATGTGAAACATAAGAAAATGGGAAGAAAAACACTGAATATAGGATGGAGAACCTACGTACCTTATCCATCAATATCTCCATTAATGTCAGACCATTATTAATCATTCTACGAGATGCTCTTGTGGCATCCGTTCTGAAATCTCTAGATTTCATGCAATTAAATTGGGTGAATGATCGGGCATATTCCTCAACATTTAGTGTCTCTACACTTCCATCCAAGCTTCTGACCCAGAGAGGTTCATCAATCATGGCCAACTTTAGCAGCTCATTCATAGCAGCCAAAGAATGATTCATCAACACCGACTTATCATACTCCATTTCCTCCACTATTTCAATGTTCACTAAAAATACATTGAAACTTATAAACAAACCAACAAAAGAGAACTAGATCGATTCCATAAAATAAAATAAAAACATGGATTATTCCAATTCATTGACTTTACGCAATTTAGATTCATAATGAATAAGTTTACGACCAGATAAAATACATTTTTATTGAAATATTTTTTATTTGTGAATCTTAAATTATTGTTTTATCATACGATTTTTGAAGAGACCTCATATATATCTTATATTAAAGTGCTTTAAAAAAATTCAATGATATCACAAAAACAACCCCGTGGAAGAGCGGACAACATCGAGCTAGCGTTTGGCCTCAAGTTTTCAAGTATTTTTGTCAAATAATATTTGGGACATATTTTTCCCAAGTTAACACCCTATGTTTGGCCCCAAGTTTTCCCAAATATATTTGACTATTTCAAAAATTATGATTTATACCCATAAGTTCTAAAAACTATTAAAAATACACATAAGTTTGTATTATCTATTTATAATGAATATGTTCCATTCAAAATAACCTTATAACATAATTGATAAAAATCAACAACAACAAAATAATAATAATATAGGCAAGAGCAATACATTAATGTATATTAATTTGGTTCAGTTATATTTACAATATTTTTTTTTTAAAATTTGTTTTTTTCTCTCAATTTTATCATTCAAATTAGAACTCGAACATTTTCAAAGGAGGTAGTAACAAACTATTCCTATAGATATATATTAGTAGGAAGTAATAAATGATGAGTATTTTTTATAAAATATAAAAGTTTGAGATAATTTTTGAATTTTTAAAAGTTCCCAAAAAATAGTTTTTCTGGTAGTTGAGAACTTGGGATTCTTGGCAAAAAAAAACTTGCCAAGTCATGTGACCAATCGCCAACCGCTAAATTTTTCTCAAGTGTTTTCCAAATATTTCCAAATAAAACTTGGGCCCAAACGGGCCCCTGATATCTTATTTCCAACTTCTAATTTTAGCATTTTCTTGTCCTTTACTTTTTGGATCTTGGTTTGATCCTTTGGACTGGACAAACAACTTTATTTGGTTATTTTTTTAATTTTTTTAATTTCATATATATAATAAACCTGGCCCAATGGGTCAAAATTTTGACCAAAAAAAAAGAGGAACTTTCATATATAGCCACTCAAAAATAGCCTAATTACTCTCCATAGCTATAGTTTGATAATTACAATTCGTAGCTACATGTTATAGGGAGGAGAGAGGCGAGCGGGACTGGGAGAGAGAGGAGAGAGGCGAGAGAGAGGGCAAAGAGTGGGAGAAAGGTGAATTGTATATGTATATCGGTTAGATAATTGTATATTATACATATGTATTTATATATTCTGGCGAATTATACATATACAAACGTGGCTAATTATACAAA